GGTCCGGGGGTTGTGTTTTTTTGTGGGAGGAGATCCCTGACGGTACAGCTCCGTGATGGCGATGTGAGGATGGCGATGTGGCGATGGGCCCGGCGGGTGTGTGTGCATCGCCATCCTCCGCCGGTGCTAGCCCGACTACCAGGCACGACGCCCGACTCTCACCGGCTCCTGGTACCATACCTCCAGAGTACCGAATCCGGTGTGGGGTCGGGGGGGGTGTGGGGTCGGGGTGGGGGGTGGTGGTGGTGGGGGGTGGGGGGGAGGCGCTGCACCGGGACGTCACCCCCCAGGCCGGCGAGGAGTGCGTCGAAGGCTGGGTTGAGGCTCGTGGCGGAGGCCGGGTCGAACCGGCTGCGCGAGAGGAGCAGCACCGAGATCTGGTCGCGCTTGCCGTCGTTCGGCGCCACGTGCAGCGAGAAGTTCCGCGACAGCTTGGGGTGCTCGCGCAGCTGCGCGACCATCGCGCCGGACACCTCCTGCAGGAAGATGGCGTCCGAGTCGGCGTAGCTATCTCCCAAAATCTCCCCATATCTCCCCATATCTCCCCATATCTCCTGCAGGAAGATCGCGTCCGAGTCGGCGTAGCTGCGAGAGAGGATCGCGAGCCTACGCGCTGGAGACGCCGACATCGGGGCGGGAGATATGGGGAGATATGGGGAGATATGGGGAGATATGGAGAGCCGAGCCTACGCGCTGGAGACGCCGACATCGGGGCGGGAGATATGGGGAGATATGGGGAGATATGGGGAGATATGGAGAGCCGAGCCTACGCGCTGGAGACGCCGACATCGGGGCGGGAGATATGGGGAGATATGGGGAGATATGGGGAGATATGGAGAGCCGAGCCTACGCGCTGGAGACGCCGACATGAGGGCGGGAGGACGGTACTGTGCAGCGTCTTCAGAGCACCGCGTGAGGAGAGGGAGGCGGACACATTGAATGCAGCCGGGTACGATCGAGTGCAGTGGACTACGCTGCGCTCTCGCCCGCTAGTTCGGAGACCGGACTCCGTCTTCCGCTTCTAGGATGGCGAGCGTGCGGTGCGTCTTGCGCGAGTTGAGCGCGACGCACATCTGCCGCCGCATCGGCTGCCAGGTCTCCTTGTGCGCCCCTCCGCCGACCGTGTTGAGCATGTGGACCAGGATGCCGTCAAAAGCCGCCTGAGGGAGAGGGAGGGAGAGGGAGATAGAGGGAGATAGAGGGAGGGAGAGGGAGGGAGAGGGAGATAGAGGGAGGTAGAGGGGGTAGAGGGAGATAAGAGGGAGAGGGAGCAAGAGCGAGATAGAGGGAGATAGAGGGAGGTAGGAGGGAGATGGAGGCCGCCTGGCAGATGGCGGAGAGAGGGCGCGACATCGCCTCCTCCGCCTCGGTCAGGGCGGGGTACTTTGCACGCGAGATCTTGCCGACGAGCTGGCTCGGGGTCGCCTCCTTGCCGGAGGCGAGGGAGAGCTTGGTGTCAAACATGAAGCCCTTCCACTGCGCCCACCACTGCTCCATCGAGGCAAACTCCGCGCCGTAGCAGTTGATCGCGGTTGGCCGCGTCGCGGTCTGCCCGCTCGCGAGGTTGATCGTGTTGGTCGTGCGGTCGGGCATCGACATCAGCCGCTTCTTGCCCAGGTCCTTGTCCTTCATGAAGCCCGCGATGATCTGCCGGCCCGCATACTGCGACCGCCACTCGGCCACCGCCTCGTCCACGTGATCCCACCCCGCCTCCGTCATCTTGGCCTGCAGCTCACCCAGCATCGCCTGTCCCACGCGACGGCCGCTGTGAGGCCGGCGCTGCGCGTCTGCGCCTCTCCCCTCTCCCTTCTCTCTCTCTCGCTGCCTCCGTGAGCACGGTCGAGACGGCGACGTCCGCGGCGCCCGGCTCGTCGAGGAAGGCCTGCACGTCCTGCATCATCTGGTTGTACTTTGGGTCGTCGTGAGTGATCCAGTACTCGAACGGGTTGTTGTTGATCGCCGCGACGTTCCACGTGGCCACGCGCAGGTACGCCGGATCAGGCAGCGTCGCGGCGCGCCGGGCCAAGCCGCGGCCGGCAGCCGCGGCCTCGGTCGGCGCGGCGGCTGCCAGAACACACGCGAGAAACAGCATACCCACACGTGGACCCAGGCGCCGCGCCTTGGCGCGTGCACGCCGCAGCGGTCGTTTTTTTATTTTCCCTTTGTGTCGGACTGTGTGTTTCGCCTTCCTTTCTTATTTGTAGAGCGCCTACGTGTAGTCGTTGGTCGGACTGTGTGTTTCGCCTTCCTATCATTCAATCAATCAATCAATGCGCGGGCAGCTCGAGCGGGGTGGGGCTCGCTAGCCGCTCGGCGTGAAAGTGCGACCGAACTTCTGCTACACTAAGACACGGAACAACAATGACGACAGCGGACAGGCTCTCCGCACGGACCGTGCACACCAACCCGGAGCACGAAGACCCACACACACAAAGACCCTAAACGGACAGAAACAAGCGCAGTCCGAGGCAAACCCGGTCGTCAGCGGGCGAGGCGACGG